TAAGAATATTGTTTAATATGGTTTATTTGAAAAAGTTTTGTGTTAATAGAGGAATGTATGTGGAGTTGTAAGTAAATTATAAGTTCATTTTTATGTTTAATTGTGTTGTAAGAAATTATTATGGAATAATAACGGGTATACCTTATGTCCATCAATCGACCTACAAAAAACCATTTGCGGATTATCATTTCTAATACATCTCCCATCTGGAAGAATTTAAATAAAGAAATTTAAAATCCCAAACTAACATAAAGAAACAAAAAAAAGCAACCTGAAGCTACCATATCAATTCAGGAAATGATGATGCCAACAAAAATAATATTTCATAATATGTCAAATAATTTTAACTTAACATATGAACAAACTCTTGATCCCCTGAGCTTAATACAAACGTACACAACGGATATACCCAACTTTATGAATATGATAACAACAATTAAGCCATATTTTACAGAAAAAAGCATGAAAACCAAATGCAATAAAATAATAAACAAAATACAAAAAATGCTGAACTCAGACGATTCCGCAAATCAAGAAAGTGACACTACATCAAATTCAACTCAAGAAATAAACTAAAATCTTCGATCCGATTATTCAATGGAATGTTAACGGGTTCTATGCCCGTTTAGAAATGCTTAAACATTTATGTTCAATAATCTCGCCATCAATTATTTGTTTACAAGAAACAAACTTTAAAGGACAGCATAGTTATGACATGAGGAATTATTCTTGTTTCCATAAAAACCGAAACAACGCAAATATCGCTAGTGGAGGAGTTGTTACATATGTTAACCAAAAATATGAATCGGAAGCAATAGTAATTAATAGTAAATTAGAAGTAGTAGGAGTATCAGTGTCCTTTCCACAAAAAATAAATATCTGTAATTTATATATTCCACCTGACTTACCAATCACAGAAGCAGATATTTCAGATGTACTAGATCAGATTCCCACTCCCAGAATAATTGTTGGTGATATTAATAGTCACAATCCAATATGGGGATCTCTTGGAATAAATTCCAAAGGTAAAATTGTAGAAAACATAATTACCTTAAAAAACCTAAACTTACTGAATAATGGACAATCAACACGATATAATATTCATACAGGTACCTCATCAGCTATCGACCTGTCATTATGTGATCCTGTACTGTCACCAAAGTTTTTATGGGATGTAATCCCGTTTTTATATGGAAGTGATCATTATCCTATTAAAATCTCTTTCAATAATAATTATGAAGATATTAATACAACTCCAATTTCAAAATGGAATCTAAAGAAAGCCAATTGGTATTTATTCAAAAAGTATATTCAACAGAACTGCCATACTTTAAAAGAAGTCACCGAAAACCGACATATAGATGAACTTCTAAATTCGTTTATATCACTAATTCATTCTGCTGGCGAAAGTCATATAGGTAAAACACAAACTCTACATAAAAGAAATTCATTACCATGGTGGAACGCACAGTGTACTGATATAATAAAAAAATATAAAAAATCCTTTAACAAATTAAAACGTCACAAAACACCTGAAAATACCATAGAATATAAGAAATTACGGGCTCAAGCTAGATATATAACTAAAAAGAACAGAAAAAAATCTTGGCAAGAATTTATGTCTTCTATTAATACCAATATGCCTATAAGCACGGTATGGGAGAATGTTAGAAAAATATCTGGAAGCAATACCTATAAAAGGATTCCATTCCTATGCAAAAATAAGCAGATAGTAACATCTAATTACGACATAGCAGAATTAATAGCAAAACAATTTGAAATGAACTCCAGCAATAATAACTTTTCTAAAGATTTTATCAATACTGAGATGATTTCGGAAAATCAGTTAATAGATTTTGATTGCATTGAAGATAATCCCCTTAATATAACATTTACCATGGAAGAGCTTAATCACTCTTTAAATACCAGCAAAAAATCGGCGCCAGGACCAGACAATATTCCTGTCAGTTTCTTACAAAATCTACCAGATAATGGAAAAAAATATCTTCTTAACCTATACAACAGAATTTGGATCAATAATGAGTTTCCCACAACATGGACGCAGGCGATAATAATTCCATTACTAAAACCAAATAAATCACGAACTGATCCTGATTCCTATAGGCCAATTTCTCTTACCAATAAAATGTGCAAAATCCTAGAAAAAATGGTGAATTATAGATTGAGGTGGTTTTTGGAAAATAATAAATTAATAATCAATGAACAAAGCGGCTTTCGCAGAAACAGATCAACCATAGATAATTTAATAGATCTAGAATCCGAAATACATGAATCATTTGCAATTGGACAGGAATGTCTTGCTGTCTTTTTTGATATAACAAAAGCGTTCGACATGGCTTGGAGATATGACATTCTTAACACACTGAGTCATTGGGGTGTCAAAGGTAACATGCTATATTTTATACATAATTTTCTCAATAAGAGACAATTTAAAGTTAAGGTAACTGGAACAGTATCCAGCACTAAAGACCAAGCAAATGGAACACCTCAAGGTTCTGTCATTAGCTCAACACTATTCTTAGTAGCGATAAACAAAATCTTAGAAAACTTTCCAAAACTTGTCAAGGCGAGACTATACGCTGATGACTTGGTTATATATTCAAGAGGAAAAAATATTCTTTCTATACAAAAAAATTTACAATGTGCATTAAATCACCTTGAAAACTGGTCGAATGCTGTGGGATTGCAATTCTCTACAACCAAAACCAAATGTATTTTATTTTCAAAAAAACAGCACTCTACAAATCCAGATCTTCAGTTATATAAAAACAACTTAACTTATGTGGAACACTTAAAGTTTTTAGGAATGATCTTTGATAAGAAACTATCTTGGAAATACCATATTATGCAAATTAAGCGATCTTGTCAATCTGGTCTCAATTTAATGCGAACACTGTGCAATCGTAATTGGGGTTCAGATTTTAAAAGCTTGATCCATATTTATAAATCACTAATACGATCAAAACTCGATTATGAATCAGTTGTATACTCATCTGCAAAGAAGACACTTCTTGTTCAACTAGAAGTCATACAAAATACAGCACTAAGAATAGCTACAGGAGCATTCTGTACTAGCCCCATTAAAAGTCTGCAATCTTTAACCGGGGAACCACCTTTAAACTACAGAAGAATGTAATTAACATACGCATCTTCTATATGTGCGATAAAATCGCATCCAACTTTCCATCACACTATCGCTGAACGTTTCAAGGAAACTTATATAAATAAAAAAAGAACGAACCCTCCCTTTTATGAGAGAATCAGAAGATATCTCTCTATCCATAACATTCAATTCCCAACTTTTTTTTATCAAACAAATACATTCACACCTCCCCCTTGGACCTTTCCTCCTGCAATATGTGATCTAACTCTTTCTAAATACAATAAGCTTGAGATCCCCCATGCAACAATTATTCAATCATTTTACAACATACTTGCTTCTTTCCCAGATTATTGTCATATCTATACAGATTCATCCAAAACTATTGATGGTGTGGGATCAGCAGTCATAGCTCCGAACATTGTATTACAGTTTAAATTATCTTCCACTTGCAGCGTTTACTCTGGAGAACTATACTCAATTCTGCAAGCCCTCATTCATATACGTCTTCAAAATATTCCAAAATCTGTCATAATTACCGACTCTCTTAGTTCATTACATACGATAGAACAGTTATATACAAGTAATCCTATATGTATTTTAATAAAAGAACAATTACATTTACTAAACAACTCGGAGAAGCAAGTACGCTTTATATGGGTTCCATCATACATTGGACTTCCAGGAAACGAAAAAGCAGATTTCCATGCCAGAGAAGCAATACACAGTGCCTCTTCAGTGTTAGTGAACTTGGTGTCCGTTTCTGACTTCAAATTGTTCCTTAAAGAAAAAGTGACAAATGAATGGGAAAACGAATGGAATCTTTCACGATCAACACTACACATAATGAAGCGCTCAACCGAATCCTGGTGCGAGACAAACTTAAACCGCCAGCTGTTTGTTAAACTAACCCGTTTACGTATAGGTCATAGCAGACTAACTCACAGCTACCTAATCTCCAAATCAAATCGTCCTATTTGTGACTTATGTAACTGCGACATTAATGTAACACATATCTTAATAGAGTGTCCTAAATATATTAGTGAAAGACAAAAACACTCAATACCTAACAATATAAAGGCAGTCTTAGGAGTACATTGTAAATTTACAAATTTGTTTAACTAGTTGAAGGATATTGATGTTTTAAAAAAACTGTAACTGTCAATTATTTGTAAACTCTATTTACAAATTGTAAAATGTGAACTTATCTAATTATTGTAAACCTACTAATTAATTAAAATACTGTTTAGATTTAAGCACCTATGTAACAACTATAGTACAGCTAATAACCCAAAGTGGTTGATGCTGTTATCAATAAAAAAAAAACCGAATAAAAAATCAATTAAAGAATAGTACTATTTCGAATAAATAATTAAAAAAGAAGAGAAATAATTTAATGCCGAATTTAATGTTTACAAGCCTGAGGGGCCTTTTTATGCTATAATCAAACAATACTGTCACGGACCTACACAGACTGTTACGGACCGTAGGAAGAGCTCTGTCTGCGGTGCGTTCTCGTCCGTGCTGATCGGCTGTCCGCGATGATCTGTAGAATCGCCGATCGTGGGAAGCCACTGTAAGACCCGAAAGATTTATTATTACTACGCATAAAAATATGTTAAGATGTGCTGATGTGCTTCAGTTTTGACGTCAATCTGTTAATATATCTTCTGAATCTTTAGTATTTTTGCTTTTCATTGCCTTTGTAAAAGCCATAGAATTGTATTCCTTTAAAATTTTGATTTATTTATTATTAAAATTATTCAGCCTCCTTAAGCATAAGTAATTAAAATTAATATAAAATTAGAGTTAAAATTATTGAAGTGACGATTACAGAAAACAGTTAAAAATATATAAAAAAGAAATAATCTATACATACCGATTTTAATATGGGTTTAAAATCAATTTTGGTCTCGATTTTGAATTTGGGTAGGGTGATGGCAACCCTAGCATATTTCATTTCTTGAGAGGCCAAGTATTGTCCTAAGTTTTTTTCCGCAGCTGCCAGACCATCGATTTCGTCGGGTAAAACAAATGTCATACTAATATTTCCGTTGATAAATCTAAGCTCCAAAAATTTAGCTTTAAGTTGTTGATTGTAAGCATAATTGGCATATGCTTCGGTATACATTGTAGGTATTTTTTTGGATTTAGTAGGTGAGCTGTGGAATATTTTATCAGTGGTTTTTTTTGCAGAAAAAGGATTTTCCCATTGTCCTGAGAAGTATAAAGCGTTGATTAATACCAACTTTGTAAAGGCATTCAATGTTTGCGGATCAATGAGATTTTTAATTGTATTGTTAGTTTTTTCTTCGACCCAGCTGTTCATTAAGTTAGCCGCCTTTACTGACTTAGAAAAGTCTAGATTCTCCACTTCGGCGTCATAACTATTAACAGCAACATCATTAAATTCACTCCTGATTGAAAAGTCTGAAGCTAAATAAATTTTATTTGCTAACTTCAAAGTATACGCATCTTCATTTATATTTAGGCCGGATGTTATTTTGGTGTATGCTTTATTTATATTTGGTATGTTGTGTGGTAAGTTTAACCCTTGTAACAATTGTTTTCTTGTAGTTCCTCTAGCCCCATTTGCAAGCAAAGACAATATGACTTCTGCAGATAATCCACTAAAAATAATGTTATCATCGCCTGATATTTTCACGAGTTTCTGTAACATAAAAATTGAGTTCTAACAAAATATGAACAAGTAAAAATACAATAATAAAAAGTTGTTTAAAATAAAGAAAATGAAAGGACAAGGAAACAAGTTAATAAAAATGATACAAAAAATATACAGTGAAAACAACAATGCCGTAATTAGTAATAATACATCAGAAAAGTTTACAATAAATGGAGGCTTAAGACAGGGAGGAGCACTTAATCCAACACTATTTACAATATCTATGGAGCAAATTATTAAGTGATTTGTGATTTGTGATTAAGTGATTACTATTTGCAGTTTATAAATCTGCAAATAGTAATCTTGGAAGGAGTATTGACAGACGATTTGGTGCCTATTGCCAAAATTAAAAAATAATTTTAGAATAACTTGGAAATATGGACAGAAGCACTCACTAAAAACGGAATAAAGAAACATATTAAAAAACAAAAGTTATGTAGAAAGGAGAAACAAGAGAACTTAATGTAAAAATAAAAGAAATAAAAATAGAACAAGTTAAACATTCTTAGGCGTAATAATAGAAGAAGCAGGATCTCTAGAAGCAGAAATCAATAGCAGTGTAGAGAAACCCCCACCTATATCATACAATAAACAAAAAATTTATATGCAAAAACAGGTATATAATAGTTTATAGACCTGTCCTAACTTTTGGTAGCGAATCATCGGTACTAACGGAACGACAATGGATCAAGATACTGGCTTTAGAGATAAGTTTATAAGAAGTGTTAAAGGCGTTACCAAAATGGATAAATAGAATGAAAAACAGAGATACACAGAAAAAAGGGAAACCACACTCTATATTGGAGTTTATGGAAGAGAGACAGCCAAGTTAGTGATGTCATTTACATCGGATGGGGGATACTGTAATAGTGACAAAAGTGTGGGAAGCAAAAATATTGAATAACTAAGAAAAAGGAAGAACAAGATAAACATGGAATAAAGTAATCAGAAAGATATTGGAGAGTAGAAGAGTATCATGGACAGACAAGAAGGTTGATGCTGAGGACAGACGAAACCGCAAAGACTGAAAGAAATTTGTTAAGAAGTAAATTAAACCTTACCCCATTATTTATGTTGACAAGATTTTGATAAATATATATATATATATATATATATATATATATACATATATATATATATATATATATATATACATATATATATATAATATATACATATATATATATATATACATATATATATATATATATATATATATATATATATATATATATTTACGGCATAAAGTGGACTCCGCCCATGTTAAAATTCAGGTTCAGGTGAGCTCCGTGGTCAAGTGGACACCGATATACGGAGCTCACTTGACCATTCCATAATATTGGCTCTGTCGATTCGTCAACATGTATAGTTTCATAATTTTTAAAAAAATTTTGGAGCCCATAATTATCCCTGTATCATAAATGTATATCGCTTAGTTTACGTGTATATATTATAGGGGTCGTTCAGATCTTTTTCACTGTATATTGGAACCATATGTATATCGGTTTAAGTAAGCTCTGATAGTTTGGCAACTCTGCTATAAGATGTATAATTCTCGCGTAAAGTCTGGACGGTTTATATGGACTCCTTAGTTTTGTTATCATTCATACGCATTACAGTGTGTAACAGATATGTATACTATTAACTACCTGTTTTTGGTAGGTACGAGTTCTCTAAAAATAGCTTTATAGGTACAAAAGGATTTCATTACCAAATTGGATTTTGTTTCATATGCGGAAATTTCCTAATGTATTTTGTTAACGTGAATATGTCTTCATAAGTTTTATTTAAGAATCCGATTAATAAGAACTTCTTTTATTTCATCCATTGTTTTATGATATCTTGTATACAGCTTTTTTATTATTTTATTTCTGGTTTTATCTATGTACTACATATAAGTTTGGATAAAAGGTAATCTCAAAATAAATATTTAAGTGCCAAAATAGATATTTTTGTGTAAAAATGGGTAGTAGTGCACAAAAAAAGAAATAATTTATCTAACAAGCATTATACCACTTCTCCAATATTACATACTTCTGAATGTTTTATTTTCCATTTAGGGGTAATATGTTATCAATATAAGTGGAGTTAGTTTTAAATTTGCAATGATCTTTATAAGTAAAAGCTTACTGGCTATACTTAACATGTTTAGTTCAAATAAATAAACCTGGTCCCTTCAGAAAAGAGCGATTTGAATGGAAAAGTCAACTAAGAAAGTGTGATGAATCTTATACCACCCCACATTTACACAGGTTAACCGGTGTTTGCAGGCAAGAGTCCTCCAGGCAAATTTAAGGAAGATAACAACTATAAGGAAGTTCCTTTCGAGGGTTCAGATGGAGAGGAGCAGCTTATATTTTTTTTTGTATATCTTGCAGATGTGATGATCTGATGACTGACTAATTTATAGCTAAATATACTTACGTGTTAAGTATGTGTTTTTGTCACCCATACTAGCAAGGTATATTCGGCAGCATAAGCGTAGAGTTTAAGTCTACGTTTTAAGGGTGGAAGAATGTGCTTCCTATTTTGAGCTGACAAGTTTGCGGAGAATATTATTTTTCTGGTTCTAGGTTGCCATTTGGTTTTAAACAAAGTTCTGTGATAGAAACTATCTTCAAGGTATTTATAGCAAGTCCAGAGTTTAAGGATTTCATGACACTATTGGTTCAGGTATATCTTCAGTTTTGTGAAAGCGTCTCTATTAGGGACATTTCCGGGGTTTGGCTTAAAATTGATTTATAATCTATTTTTATTATTTCTAATCCTATTCCTATTACTACTTAAAACTAAACATTTGTCATCATTGTCCGGTTTATTTAGTAATTCTTCTTTCTCTACTCGTTGCTTGGCCTCTCCTTGGTTCTTTTTATGTTGCTCTGGTAGTTTTTTGAACACGATATTTCCAACACCTTTTCTTCTTTATAGCACCATCTCCATTCCTTGCCGTCCACTGTGATTTTATTGTATCCTATTTTGACCATTTTTCCATTTTCCCTCATTTCTCTTGCTTTATCTCTTAAAGCTTCCATTTTCTCTCTCTCTCTCTCCTTTTGTGAGATTCTCTGTAATCCATATTTTTTCGATCTTCACATTCTTAAGTTTGTATTTGTTTCTTAAGATTGTTGTTTTTTCTTCTTCGCTTTCAAGTTCAATTAAGCATGTTTTTGTTCCTATTTTTTGTGCTCTTTTAATATTGGTTTTGACTCCAAGATGATTTTCTAATATAGTAGTCATTCCCTCTTTCAATGTTTTTGGGTCTTTAGAGTCTATTTTTAATCCACTGATGATTATATTCTTTTTTCTTTGTCTAACCTTTCTAATGAGCGTTTTAGATCATTTAATTCTTCCGTTATCTTTTTGTTATCGGTTTTGGTTAGTTCGTTTTCTCTTTTCAGTTCTTCTTTCTCTTTTGTCCATTCTTCCTTCACCCTTTCTATTTCCAGTTTTATGCTTTTTATTTCTTCGTTATTTTGTTTTATCTCTTCTTTAACTTCATTTATATATCTTCTCATCTCCTTATTTTCTTCCTTCATTTCTGTTTTCAGCTCTTTTATTTCCGTTTTAATCTCCTTATTTATTTCTTCTATTAGTTTCTTTAGTTCTTCCATTTCGCGATTTTTTATGTTATCCTTTGGAGATGTTCTTAACGTGGCTTTGCTTCTTTTGAAGGCTTCCTCCTCGTCGAATGAGTTATCGTGTTCTGGCTTATTTCTTTTGCTGTTCATTCGATTTAATTATTGTATTACATTTACTTTTAATTTATTATTTTAATTTAATTTAATTCTAATCCCAACTTTAATCAAATCTATTTTAAGGCCAGATCTGGATTTTTGTAATAAAATTATGTGGCTTTTATTTTTATCATTAATTTCTTGTCAGCACTAATTACTTTCTTATCTGACAAAAAAAAAAAACAAAAACAAAAAACGCGTAGGAATACCTAAGCAGGTCGACCCTTCGAACCTTAGCCAAAACCACTTTTTTAATCTTTCACTCAATTATTCATTTACTTAAGACTTGTTAAAATTATTAAAATAGTTCTATCTTACTGGTCTGATGGTATTTTCTTTATTAACTACTATCACCTGTATGCACTTAACTTTTTATACTTATTTTTGAACTCGGTTGAATTTTCTAACTTGTAATTCCCGAATAATTTTAAGTTTATTACGAAGCGAAATTAAATGAACCTACTGTTATCACTTGCAGGACCGTTTCAAATAGTCAAAAAATTAATAAACAGCCTGCTAAAATAGAAATATCGCCTATTTAGAACGTAATCCATTACCGGCCCAAGGTACAAAGCACTCCTGCTAATGATATAGATCTCATAAGAAACTTTCTCGTCCGCAAACATCTTCAATAAAGTGAAGAGAGCACGAAAAATATTTCACTTAAAATCAACGAAATGAAAACCAGATACAAGCGAATCAACAAAAGAGACCAATTCAATAAATCTAGATAAAATATTAAAGTTAACAATCACAATTTCCAAAATATGGAACACTTTAAATATCTTATAAGATAAATTATCACGGTTAATATTAATACCACTAAAAAATACAGAGAATAATTCAAACTTTAGACCTATTTTAATACATGGATGCGAATCATGGACAATGAGTAAAACAAGTAAGGAAGAATTACGAATATTTGAAAGAAAAATAATAAACATTTTTTAACCTCATTATCATATCGCTACAAATCTGCATAGAATAAGAACACATACTAAATAAAGAAAGCTTTTATAACGATATTGTTCCGGAAAATAAATCCCTTAAGGTAGATCGGACACATGCATAAACGCCAAGATGTCAAACTTATAAAACTGGTATGGAAGGAAGTTAGCACAGAAAATGCCATATCTAAAAAAAATAACATTTCAGTTGATTACAGATTCGTGGAAAATCGATCAACTTGGAGAAAATTTGTAGTTAGCGAAGACCCACCCAGTGTTGTAGCGCTACGTTATGATAATGATAAAG